GCTAAGTTGTAAGGAAGTCTCAGGCGGGAGCCGTTGATGTTGTTGTAACCCGGGGGCCAGGGGGCCAGTTTGAGCAGGAAGACTTCCCCTGTCAAAAAACAGGGTGCGAGCGTCGAGGGGCACACTTTGATTGAGAAAAAACAGTAAGCACCAGTGAGGGGGGATCAACAATAATCATTCTTCAGAAATGAGAATTCAACGACAACAACGACAACACTGACAACACCACCAACAACAACACAACCACAACAACCACAACGTCATCAGCATCATCATCATCAGCATCATCATCAGCATCAGCATCATCAGCAGAATCAGCATCAGCATCATCATTGTCATCGTCAGCATCAGCATCATCATCGTCATCATCAGCAGCATCATCATCATCATCGTCGTCGGCATCATCATCATCATCATCATCATCATCATCAACATCAACATCATCAGTATCATCATCTGCATCAGCATCATCGTCATCATCAGCATCAGCATCAACATCCGCATCATCTTCATCCTCATCATCAGCGGGGTCATCAGCAGCATCATCATCAGCAGCAGCATCATCAGCATCATCATCAGCATGACCATCAGCATCGTCATCATAAGCATCGTCACCATCAGCAGTTTCATCAGCACCAGCATAAACATAGTACTCATCAGCAACATCAGCATCGTCCTCATAATCAGCATCATCCTCATCATCAACATCATCATCATCAGCAGCAGCATCGTCATCATCAGCATCAGCATCCGCTTCCGCATCATCATCAGCATCAGCATCATTATCAGCAGCATCAGTATCATCATCATCATCAACAACATCATCATCGTCAGCATCACCATTGATCATCATCGGTACCAGCGGCATCATCATAATTAATCGGAATCAGCATCGTCGACATCGTCATCATCATCAACAGCATCGTCATCAGCATCATCAGCAGCATCATCAGCAGCATCATCATCGCCATTGTCATCAGCGTCAGAGTCCGCATCATCATCAGCAGCAGCATCATCAGCAGCAACAGCAGCATCATCAAAATCGCCATGAACAGCAGCATCATGTTCAGCAGCAGCATCACCAACAAAATCGTCAGCATCATCAGCATCAGCAGCATCATCGTCATCATCATCAGCATCAGCAGTTCCATCATCATCATCAGCAGCACCATCATCAGCATTATCATCATCAGCATCATCGTCATCGTCATCGATATTGTCATCATTAGCGTCATCATCATAACCAGCAGCAGCATCAGCGTCATCATCATCATTAGCGGCAATGTACTCCCCCTCATCATCCTCCTCATCATGATTATCGTCATCCTCAGCATCGGAATCGTCATCGTCATCATCATCACTATCAACACCATCAGCATCATCATCACCAGCGTCGTCATAATCATCATCGTCATCCTCATCATCAACATCATCGTCAGCAGCATCAACATCAACATCCTCATCGTCTTCTGCGCTGTCGCTTCTCCCTCATCCTCCTCCTACTCCTTCTCCTCCTCCACCTCCTCCCTCGGAAAATGTCCGTCACCACGTGCGCCATGACCCGTATTAAAGGCATAGAGTAAAAATCCGTGTGTCAACGTGCAACCAGGAACCCGGGATGCCGACTCCGCACCCGTTGGCCCAGCCTGGCGGGTGGCCGCTGGCCTTCGCAGCATCGCTAACCAGCGACCAAGATCGCCAAGGTGAACGCAAGGTGGTATGTTGACACCGATCTAGAATTCGAACGCAAAGCGGCGGCGGGAAGTGCGGCTGTGCTGGTACCTGCAGTCCGAGTGAATTTGCCCAGATCAGCCGCGTGCACGTGGCCCACGTGCGTGAGGTTGGCGATTCCTACACAAAAGAATGCGGCGGGTCTGTGCTTGAAGCATGCCTGCAGCGGTGGTGAGGTGGCCCCTCTGAACCATGCAGACGGGCCCATATTTCCGTCAGGGTCGTCCTCGCCAACTGGTAAGGTCGGCGATGCGCACTGCTGCACACGCTGTAGCCACACTGGCCACTGCAAGCGCAGGCTACGCACACACAGCGTATGGCGGCTCAGCCGTAAGTGGCAGCTATGCGTGGCCCTCACTCACAGGCTACTCGCCTATTGCAGGGTTGATTGGAGAGGACACGCGAGAGGACACACGACCCTTCCGAGGGCCACGTTGCCATAGGAATGTAGAAGGCGTGGGCCGCGAAGTACAGGAAGCAAGGGCACCCTCGATCTGGCAGGATCGACCCACTACTCCGGATTTCGTAATAAAGGGAGGGGGTCTCATTTCGGGGGGGGTCTCTTCCAGGCTATCTTGGAGGGCCTGGGGGGGTCTGGGGACGATGTTTTGGAGGGTTCTCCCACGGGGGGGGTCTAAAACTTCTCGTCTGGGAGGGTTGAGACCCCCTCCCTTTTATTACGAAATCTGGAGTAATCAACCTCGACTGCACTGGATTCCTGTTCGCAGCCCGACCATGGCTGGCCCACCCCGCCGTCCATGGCCACCGCCCCTGGCGCTCCCCCACAAGCCGGCCCGTCCGTCGCGGGAGGGCTGCGGCGCGGCTGCCGCCCTGCTCGCGGCCCCATCTCCCGCTCCCGCGTGGCCACGAGCCCACTGCGCCCGTCTCCTCGCCGGCGCAAGGAACTCGTCGTCCTCCGAGAACGGGGCGTTCCGCCATGTCCTCGGCCAACGTGCCGTCGCGCATCGCATGGCCGGTTCCTGACCGCATTCCCCCGTTGGCGCTGCCTCGTCTGCTCGGCGAGCTGCAAGCCGTCAATATCTTCTTTCGCAGGTGTGTACAACGAGCTCGACTGGTCCAGTTCGTCGTCCTCCGCGATCATCGTGAACCCCTTGCCTGGCTCATCGTCCAGCTCGCTATGCTTGATGACGGCCCAGTTGTCAGGCGTGGTGAGTTGCTGCTTCGTCACCACCGTCCACTTCGTTAATTAGCTCGTCCGCGCGGCGCGATTCTTGTTCCAGGGGGGGCAAAAGTCCCCACAATGTTCCCTGACCCTGGCGGCCGTTCACCAATGCGCTCTCCTTCGCGCACACACAAGCCAGATTCGAACACAGGCGACTACGGTCGCCGAGCTGCGGGTCATGCAGGCACTCCTCGCTGGGAGATGGCGGCCTGATCGGTAGGACAATAGTGGTCGGCGCCCTCGACATCCATGCTGTCCGTGGACGCGTCGCCAAGCTCCATCGTGACGCAGAGCCGTGCCAGCGAGGCCCCTGGCGCGGCGATGGCCTTCCGCCCCTTGCTTGCGAGCCTGCACATCTTCTGCTGAGCGGCAGCACCGCCTTCCCGTTGAGCTCCGTGCGCTCGGAACGAAAGGGTGCCCACGATAGGGCGGGCCCATTCTCTCCTCCCACGGCGGGTCGCGTCGTGTGTGCGCGCGTCCGTCCCCAGGAAGGATCTCGCTCCCGGACCTCTTCGGCAGCTGCCACACTGACTTTGGTGCTGACCTAAATCCCGCCGCCCACCCCACCGGTGCACGCGGTCGGGCTTGCTGAACACTACGAAACGCGCTGCGGGCTCCACCCGCGGCAGCTGCACACGTCTGCGCCAGGCTTGAGCACCCGATGGCCGAGCTGTATCTCTTTCATCCTGCTGAACAGGACTTTCATGCCCACCAGAAGGCGTAGGCCCTCGCCGCGTCAGCGATGTTCAGGCACATGCCAATGCCAGTCTTGGAGCGCGTCCCGCAGTCGAGCGGCACCCCCGCTGTCCAGCGTGCCCTTCGTTGAGCTCTTCCTCGCGCGTGCAGGAACCACGTCCACTTGTCGGAGAACATGAGCATTACGAAATTACCGGTTGACCCCGAAAGGCAGACGCGGCAGAGGTTCATCGAAAGACGCTGCAGGGATCTTGAACATCGGGTCCGAATAGTCGACAGCCTGGTGGGCTAATGCGGAGTCGAATATGATCTGAAAAAATTGATGTCGGAGAAGGCCCCTTGCCCGTCCATCGCCGTCTCCTCCGCCTCCGTGTGCATGGCCCGTAGAAGCTCATCCATGCATTCCGTCACGTGACCTGGGCCTGGATTAGCTGGCGTCTGCTAGAGAAACTTACAAACTCGCGTACTCCTGGCCTCGAAGTTCAGCACGTCCCTGGCCCTGGCCGCGATCAGGAACACTGAGCAAGCGGAGAAGGTCCAGGTCTTGTGCGCACTGGATGTGCACGACGGCGGCGAACATCTGTCAACGTGCCGTCCTAGAGGCCAGACCTGCGGCCGTTCGGAATGTTCTTTGGTGCCTGATGCGCGACGTCTCCATCAGCCGGGCGTCTTGGTGTTCCGTCCGCGCCGCTGGGCCGGGAGTGCCTCCCTCTGGGGGTATCTCACCCCTCCACGTTCACCTCCTTCTCCCGCACCGCTAAAACATCATTATCCTCTCCTCTCCTGCTTCCTTCTCATCCTGGCCCGCTCAGGATCACTTGTCCTCTCCTCCACCTGCCAAAGACTCCACGTCCTCCTCCTACTCTCCCTCCCTCCACTTCCTTCCGCCCTCATCCTGCTCACTCCTCCTTCTCCTCCTCCTCCTCCTCCTCCTCCTCCTCCTCCTCCTCGTCTGCAGCTGCCCGGCAAGCGTGTGTGGGGCGGGGGGGCGGGGGCAGCTCTGGGGCCGACGTGGCCACTGGCACCGACGGGGCGGCCACGGACGGAGTGTGCCGACAGGGCGCCGCCTCTCGCAGGGTCACTGCGCGGCCTCGCCAGCAGGGCAGCTCTGCTCCACACCTGCCCCCCTGTCCCGCCCTCCCCATCCCCGTTCCTCCTTCCCTCCCCCCGCCTCTCCCTGCCCTCCCATGCCCTCGCACCCTGCGCTCCCCCCCCTCCCTCGCCCCCCCCCCCCCCCGCCTGTCCGCCTCCCTCCATCCGTCCACCTTCGTGTCTTTCCTCGCTCCCTCCTCCCCTCCACCTCTCGCTCCTCCCTGCCCTCCCCTGTCCTCCCCTGCCTTCCCCCCTGCTGCTCCCCCTGCCCCCCGCCCCCGGGCGAGCGAGGGCGCGCCATGTCCGGCGTCGCGTGGGCTCTGGAGAAGGCTGGCGACGGCGGCAGCACTGGGAGGAAGCTGCTTTGACTCCGAGCGGGCAAGACAGGCATGCCACCGACAAGCTGGCGGCGAATGGGCGTTACGGGACGTGAAAAAGACCACAGCCACTGCTTTTCTTTTGTTGCCGACTTCCAGCCAGCAGAAACAAAGCAGTGGTTGTGGTCAGTTTCGTTAAGCTTGGCACCAAGGAAATGACCACAACCACTGCTTCTTTTTCGGCCGGCTGGAAGGCGGCGCAAACAAGAAGAAGTGGCTGTGGTCATTTTCCCGTCCCGCAGGCATGCCCCCAAACGGCGGTACAAACGATAACCCAGCCTGCCACCGAGAGGCAAGGGGTGAATGGATGGTCAGGCTGCCCCATGCAGTGGCACGGATCCAGTGAGAGCGAGGGGGGCGAACGGTGATTCACTGTCCCTGGGTGCGTTGCTGACGTGAGACTCCGCGGCGCGAATTCTGCTTGCTGTTGCGTTGTTGTTGTTGTCCCCCCCGCGAACGGGCCCGCGACCCACCCGCAGCCCACCAGCGACCCACCCGCGGCCCATCCGCGACCCACCCGCAGCCCACCAGCGACCCACCCGCCGCCCACCCGCGACCCACTCGCGACCCACCCCGCGACACGCCCGAATACCGCCCGCGACGCACCTGCGACCCACCCGCGAGCTACCCGCGACCCGGCCCGCAACCCACCAGCGACCCACCCGCGACCCACCCGCGACCCACCCGCATTGCTTGAACGAAAAAAATCGTCGCCTGCGGCGGGCTCACCTTGCAGACTGCCGACGTCCCCGCCGCCCCCTCACTCTTATCTGCAACTGCTGGGTGCTACGTCCTACGTCAATCTGAACATTTCAAACAGAACGTCAAGCATCGTCCATTCGGGTCAGACGCTGCTGTAAGCTGACGCCAGCACGATTGAAAATGTCGCGGAGCAGGCACAGCATACAGGCAGGCAGAATTCCTAACCTGCGGGCATGATGAAAGGATCCTGATCGTTTCGATGGGACCTCGGCGATCAGCTCGCCGATCCTGTGACTGGGGCTTCTGATCAAATCGCGGTCAGGTCATGTTGGGAGCGCTCGGCCGCGGGGGCAACACCCCCGATACTCCAGATCCGCCTCCTCAAGGCGATGCTAACACTCGGGCGGACTGTGCTTGCGCGACCGTTCCTTGTGGAGTCTCAGGGTCTCAGAGGAGGGACACAGTACGACAAATGAGAACTGAGGAGGGATACCAGAGAGGCAGAGGGAGGGACGAGGGAAAATGCAGGGAGGACGACGGACGACGGACAAGGGACGAGGGGGGAGGATAGACGAGTGACGAGGGACAGCGGAAGAGGGAGGCCCTCGGCTGAAGCCAACAGAGCCGCAGGGAGGACAAAGTACAGTAAGGAGGAAGGACGAGGCACGAGGAAGGACGAGAGACAAGGAAGAACCCCGGTCACCTCACCTCGCGGGTCACGCCCCGCGATGCGCGCCACGCGGTCGGCCCAGGCCGCGGCGCGGCAAGCGCGGGTGCCTTCGCGCCCCTACGGGTGAACCCCGAGGAACGAGGGACAATCAAGGAGGGAGGATAGAAGCAGCCTCGTGCTGAGGGGCCTCGTGCCGAGGGGCAACGATAGGGGGGGGAGCTCGATCCTCGATCCCCCTGCTCCCCGTGCTGAGGGGCAACCATGGGGGGGGGGAACTCGATCCTCGATCCTCCTCCTCCTCCTCCTCCTCCTCCTCGATCCTCGATCCTCTTCAATCCTCCTCGATCCTCCTCGATCATTCTCGATCCTCCACGATACTCCTCGATCCTCCTCGATCCTCGAGCCTCCGCAGCCACACATGACCTGTAAGCAAGAGGGGATCCTCTGACTGGCGCAGGCGCGAAGCCCGCGGGCACCAGCACCGGCTCAGCGTGTCCCTGGGCCGCCTGCTGAAACGCGGCGCGAAGAGTCGGCATGGGCATCATTGCGCTCCGCCTCCTCCTCCTCCTCCTCCTCCTCCTCCTCCTCCTGCTCCTCCTCCTCCTGCTCCTCCTCCTCCTGCTCCTCCTCCTCCTCCTGCTCCTCCTCCTCCTCTCCCTCCCACTCCCCCGCCTGCTCCTCCTCCTCCTCCTACTCATCCTCCTCCTCCTGCTCCTCCTCCTCCTCCTTCTCCTTCTCCTTCTCCTTCTCCTTCTCCTTCTCCTTCTCCTTCTCATCATCATCATCATCATCATCATCATCATCATCATCATCATCATCATCATCATCATCATCATCATCCTCATCATCATCATCATCAGCAGCAGCAGAAGCAGCAGCAGCATCAGCATCAGCATCACCATCATCATCATCATCATCAGCAGCAGCAGCATCAGCATCATCATCATCATCAACAGCAGCAGCATCATCATCATCAGCAGCATCATCATCATCGTCATCAGCAGCATCATCATCATCAGCATCATCAGCAGCATCAGCAGCAACATCATCATCAGCATCAGCATCAGCATCAGCATCATCATCAGCAGCATCATCATCAAAATCATCATCAGCATTAGCATCATCATCGACAACCACATCATCAGCAGCAGCAACAGCACCATCAGCATCAGCAGCAGCAGCATCATCATCCGCGTCATCAACATTATCGTCATCATCATTACCAATATCATCATCATAATCAGTATCGTCAGCATCATCATCAGCAGCATCAGCATCAGCATTAGCATCATCATGCAATATCAGCATCATCGTCATGATCATCATCATCATCATCATCATCATCATCAGCAGCAGCATCATCGCCAACATCAGCATCAGCAGCAGCATCAGCATCAGCATCAGCAGCATCATCACCATCATCATCAGCATCATCATCAGCATCATCATGATCATCACCATCGTCATCATCATCAGCATCATCATGATCATCATCATCATCATCATCATCATCATCATCATCATCATCATCATCATCATCATCGTAAGCATCATCATCATCATGATCATCGTTATCATCAGCATCATCATCAGCATCATCATCAGCATCATCGTCATCATCATCAGCACACCACCACCAACGCCATCATCGTCATGCTCCTCATCATCATCATCAGCAGCATCATCATCATCACCATCACCATCACAGTCACCATCAGGCTCATCATCAGCATCACCATAGTCATCATCATCGTCGTCGTCATTGCCGTAGGCACCGTCACCATCGTCATCATCATCATCACCATCATCACCAACATCACCATCACCATCACCATCACCATCACTATCACCATCTTCATTGTATGACCAGCAAGTCATCATCAGCGTTATTATCATCATCATCATCATCGGCAGCAGCAGCAGTAGCAGCAGCAGCCTCGTCGTCATCGCTATCGTAATCATCTTCATCATCAGCAGGAGCATCATCATCAGCACCACCATCATCATCATCAGCATCATCAGCATCATCAGCAGCATCAGCAGCAACATTATCATCATCACCATCATCATCATCACCATCATCATCATCAGCATCATCATCATCATCATCAGCATCATCAGCCGCAGCATCATTTTCATGTTCATCAGCATCAGCATCAGCATCAGCACCATAATCATCATCAGCAGCATCATCATCATCACCATCATCATGATCAGCATCATCATCATCATCATCATCATCATCATCATCATCATCATCATCATCATCATCATCAGCATCAACGTCATCTTCATCAGCATCACCATCATCATCGTCGTCGTCATCGTCATCGTCATCGTCATCACCACCGCCGTCATCGACGCCAGCTCCGTCCTCATCGTGTCTTCCGGTCTTTTCCTTGGTGCGGCCTTCAGGAGTCTTCCGTCCCCCTCCTCCTCCTCCTCCTCCTCCTCCTCCTCCTCCTCCTCCTCCTCCTCCTGCTCTCGCCTCCTCCTTCTGCCTCCTCCGCGTCCCGCCGCCTCCCCACGCCTCATCCGACGCCGGCTCAGACGGCGAAATCGGCGAAATCGGTGCGCCAGCGCCGCCAGATGCCCGCATGCATGCGGGCCGCACCCCTGGCTTGCCCGACCCTCGTTCCAATTTCCCCTCCCCCCTCTGCTCCTCATCCGCCTTCGGGCTCGCCCGTTCGCTCGCCGCCTGAGGACCATCGAGAGAGAAGCTGCCAACCCCCGAAGAAACGAAAACGATTCCGATGCACTTCTCGATGCGACATACAATCCTTCTCCTTTTCCTTTTCATTTTCCTTTTCCTTTTCCTTTTGCTGTTGCGTTTCCTCCTTCTTCTCCTCCACATTCTGCCTCAGCGGACCCCTGCGCGGCAGGAGGGCAGGAGAGGCAGGAGGGGGGAGGGGAAATAGGGGGGAAGGGCAAGCGGGAAGGGAGAGAAAAAAGAGAAGGAGGACGAAGAGGAAACGGTGGGGAGGAGGAGGGGGGCGGGGAGCAGAGGGGGAGTGAAAAGGAGAAGGCCGAGGAGTGGGAGGGAGGACGACGACGACGACGACGACGGGGACGAGGAGATGCGTGAGGGGAGATCGCGTTACAGGCTCAGCCCCATGCTTCTGCATGCTATTTGTTGGCATGGACTCGCACCACCTGGCAGCTGCTTGATAGGCGAAACGCGTTTTTTACACAAAAATCCATTAGCGCAGGAATACGCGCAAACCAACATGTAAGCCAGGGTGAACCCCAAACGGCGTGTGTTAGAGCACTTCGTGGTGCAATCTACGCGGTGCGAACACGTAATGCAATATATACGGTGCAAAGAAGCTCTGTTCGCTGCGACGTGTTCACTTCAACGCTCGCGAAATAATTCAACCCACCCACCCGCAACTTGGCTTGTAAAACCATGCGACGACTGTTCGGCGCTGACTGGCGCATCGCCGCGGCCGCGCTAGCGCGCGCAGGCTCGCGCGCAGAGCGGCCAGCCACAATGGCGCGACCGACACGGCCGCGGCGGCACTGACCTCTGGAGACTGCCCAGCGCGGGTCGCAGCCCGCGCTGTCGCGCGGGCATTTCAATGCGAGTCGGTCACGCGGGCGAGCGCGGTACCATGGCGACGTCGACAACGACAGACACGATGATGATAGTAGCGACGCTGGTGACGACGATGACGGTGACGACGGCAAGGCCAACGACAGCGCCAACGCTGACCACGCCGATGGCGACGATGGTGTCAACGCGTCGGCGAGAAAGTTTTGGAAGGATTTCGACATGCGCGCGTGGCCGACAAACACAAGTGGCCCGCGCGGCAATATGGGACAAGAAACGTTCACCCCACCCCAACCCCCAACCCCCCGCACGCGCGCAAGGGCGCATGAATGGTTTCGACATCCGCGCGCGGCAGGCCCGTTCGGTCGCATGTGATGAAAATGTAGAGGGCAATGAAAAATTGTATACTTGTGTATATAATTTCTTGTTCTTTCATATATCTATATCGAAAAATGGCGTTCGTAAGAATCCGCATGAGCGCGCGCCGACCTTGCTTTGCAATCTCACGTTGCAAAACATGCGTGTGCTATGTTGCCGGGACACGCGACTCTGAAAGCCTTACAGAAACCGAGGTGTTAGACGGATGTCGGCAAGCGCGCGACGACACGCGCGCGCACTTCGCCCCATTTGTTGCTACTGGTTCTTGCAAACGTATGCTTCTTGATAAACCAGAGCGCGCATGGTATTCGTTTACCAAGATGATGGCGGAAGAAGCCGGCTCAGCTTCAAAATGAGCGGTGGGCAGATACACTCGCGAACTGCACCCCATCCAAGGCGCATCGTACATCCAGGGAGGGGATCCGATTTCCTGGGTGAAAACCCAAAAAATGATGCGGCGCAGGTTCTTGCTTTTCACAATGAGTTGTCACCTCCACAGCTCGCGCAACCATCCCACTCACCCACACACCCACCCACAAAAAAAAATCCTAATCCCACGCAGCGGCGATTGCGATGACTGCTCGGCGCTGCCTGGCGCATCGCTGCGGCCGCGCTAGCGCGCGGAGGCTAGCGCGAAGAATCATGGCGATGTCGACAACGGCAGACGCGAAGATGATAGCGGCGACGCCGGTGACGACGATGACGATGACGACGGCAAGGCCAGCGACGGCGCCGACGCCGACGACGACGATGGCATCAACGCGTCGGCGATGCAGGTTCCGAAAGATTTTGACATGTGCGCGCGGCCGACGGGCGCGAGTGGCCCGCGCGGCAGCACGGGACAAGGACCGCGCCCCCCCCCCCCCAAGCACGCGCACAACAGCGTTCGAATGGTTCGGCACGCACACACGAGAGGCCCGCTTGGTCGCATGTAATGAGAACGCTGAATAACCCATGGTTTGCGCAAGAATTCGCATAAGCGCGCGAGCCGACCTTGCTTTGCAAACTCACGCTGCAAACCACAAACGTTATGCTTTATATGCTTTCGGTACACTCGGCCTTGAAATCCTCGCGGTACTCACGGCGTTGGAGGGGGGTCGGCATGCGCGCGCGACGACGCGCGAGCGCGCACTCAGCCCCATTTCTTGCCACGGATTCGCGCCAACGGATGGTTCCTGATAAGCGAGCGCGCGGGCGCGCACGGTAGTATTTATCTGGATGATGGGGTGGGGGGGGGGCGCTTTAGCTGGGATGGTTTGAGTTTATATTTAGAATGAACGGCGGGGCAGAAACGCGCGCGAGCTGCACCCCATCCAGGGGGCATCGATAATCCGGGGAGGGGGTGAAAATCTGCGCGGCGAGGAATAAATGGGAGAAAAAAGTGAGGTGCCGAGTGAGTCGCCACCTCCACTGCTGGCGCAATCATCCCACCCACTCATCCGCAATCTGCTGCGAAAAACCCACGCGGCCGCAAATGCGGCACATGCGTGGCGCTCGCTGGCGCATCGCTGCGGCCGCGCTAAGCCGCGCCGGATCGCGCGCGGGGCGGCCAGCTAGTCCGGCACGACCGACGCAGCC